AATTTGTATGTGTATATAGTGTATCGCGTATGATTTTTAAGCAATAGCGTTCATGATTTTTGTGATTTTATTTGAAACTACACACTGTATTAGAAAATGAAATAAATGAACAAATATACAGAATATTCTTGCGCATGTCTTATAAAAACAAACAAACAAAAAAACAAAAACAAAAAAAACAAAAAAAAAACAAAAAAAAAACCCCAAAAAACAAGAACAAGATTTTTAAAAATGAAGTAGAATATTTCAAATCGTTAAATTTTCTCACATTATATTATTATCCTATTGACATTATTTTTCTACTATCCAAAAAGTTAGTTAGGTATTGACATTTAACTAAATATCTTGACCATAAAAGGGTATATCTCTATCACAAATCAAATGTCTCATTATTCAGGTAACAAGGTTGATGTACACTTTGTATGTGTTTCATGGTCACAAACACAACAAAAATAAGGTTATGTTAAAGTCTTAATCGAAGCTCAATAATCGATAAAACGAGATCAAGATATAAATTAAAGCAAGATTTGCAAAGCTTCGGAAAACTTTGATCAGAATAAGACCAGGCGTTCCGGAACGACAAGTGTCATCTGCTTCATAGACGATATCCGCCTTGTACGACATCCGCTTTGTTAAGTTGCATCAATGCAGTCAGCAATGTGTAGTTCTCAAATGTGAACTAGGTATACATCAACGAAATTCCCACACGTTAACGAAAACACGTGTATGCTAATAAGAATCGGACATAACAGTAACTTCGTACCGAAGGAGATACATTATTTCCCATTACAGTTATGATGGTGTCATCCCAAAGTTCCATGGAAAAACAAATATAAAATATCAAACAAAATTTTCCTCACTAAGAAAGCAATAAAAAATATCGCTATCTACTTTGTCGGTCATTTATACATATGCTATTTAATGATGCTTTTATAGCGATGGTTTTTGTCACGTTCTGTTCCATTTCATTTCTTTTCCTATATTGATAAACTCAAAACCCAGGTCTTCAACTTTTCAATCTTTAAATTCATTTTTTGAATATTATGGAAAAATTTTACGGTCAGCATAGAGATCTATCTGCGATATAGTCTATTTCATTGTCTGATATGAAGCTTAGTGTGTTTGATGCTCGTTGGTTCTGTTTTTGTATACCTTGTTCTAATTTGAGAACGTGAAATAACTTTACATAACATGTGTCATCGATGAAACAAACGACCTTTGCTGTTTTGGAGCACCTGGTCTCATTTACTTGCAATGTTTCAGTATACTCCAAGTATTTATTATATTGCGCCATAGTTTACTGAATTTTGGATTGAATTATGAATATGTTGAAATTTTAGGGTTTTTTTCCGACCATGTTTTCTCTCTTCTTCATTTATATCATGATGTGATTAGTTTGTTTAAGTCAAATTTAACCATACAAGATTACTTAACTCATTACTTGATGTATAAAATCACATTAATATAAGATAATATACCAGTTTAGAGTATACCGACCGTTTACGTGTTGTGAGGGTTCAAATGAAGTCGCCCCAACTCGAATGACAAACGGTGAAGGTGTTATTTGCTGTTTCGCTGTACCATGGACTGGAAACATCGACATACAGCAGAGGTTACGCCGTCGGACCGACCTTTTACTGTAAAAACAAAGTTAGAAAACAATTTTGTTACAGTATCTTACCTCTCTTTTTTAAATTTTACAAGCAGAATAAGTTTTGTCCAATGCATTCTGCTTTGTTAAAAAATCATCGTCCTATCACACAGCGACAATTTCTATCAATTTGGTTGTAGAGGAGCGCATTTTGTTTTATTCATACATTTATTTTATCGGCTTTAAGTCACCTAAAAAATCCATCCAGTAGACGATTTGGATATAAAGTATGACGAGATACAAAACTAACAAATAATTGTTACAAATAACAATAGTAACGACTAGACTGATCTGCAATACAGATACATATCCACGGTGTGATAGAGAAAATAACGAACATTATTACAATTTGAATATACATTGTACGGGATGCAAAGATGATGACATTTTCTGTTTAAAATTATCTCGGAAAATAATAATTGATATTCTTATCTCCGGTTATGCACCTTCAGAAAGGTAAAATCATATGCTTGGAAGGATAGAGAATGCACTTAAATTTCCATTACTAGGCTACTCCGTGTGATAAACACTCCCCTCGGGCAGAAAACATACTTTAAAAATAGTACAACAAACACGTAGCTAAATAGCACATTTTACTACAAATCTAGTGTTAGATACAGAAATATCAAGCAATGAAAGAAATCTTAATCTTAATTACAACATTTGATATCTCACTCCATGTCTACCATCGCTTATAGGATACGTTTCGTCGAATAACTGAACAACAGAGCGGAGTCTCGGTCAGTGATCGGCGAACGTATATCTTTATTACTTAACCTTTTACTAAGGCCGCGTGTGTGCTTCTAATCTAGTTAATATGGACAATACCTATTATCTGCGGGTTTTTTTATCGCTGAAATTATAATCTCGTATAGACTATGTTAACTTATATATATATCAAAATCCTTAGATCAGTCTTAATTTAATTTCAATAGTTCAAATATTGATATATCGACAAATACAAAAACTTTAATATGAAAAATGCAAATCTTACCTTTGTAAAAAGAACATACAATAGTCAGCAAAGAAACTATCCAGCTCATCGTTGACAGTTATCGGACGTTTGTATAATCCGTGTCTTGAAGTACTCTGTATATAATAGGCCTATATAGGTAAGGTCCTTTCACGTATTGATGCTCACAGCTATAAAATAATTATATACTTCAACTGAAAAAAATCCATCCTTATCCTAAAATCAGTATGAGTTATATTCGGATGTCACGTGATATGTGAATGATACGCATATTAAAATAAAAGATGAATACGAATTTGTAATTACATTTAGGCACGAACAAAGAATGTATCTGCGGCATTTTAAGCCGTTTTCCAACGGGGTCATCGTGACGTACTTTGATAATGTAAGCTAATTTTTGAAATCACTTGTAATTCTTAAAGATTTGTAGTTACACTATGCATCAAACTAATGCCAAATTTCATGTCAAAATGTAGCCAATCATGAATTTGACCTCCGCTTTACCCCAAGGTTTTCATATTAAAAACACTTATCGATTATAGCTAACAGAAGATCCAAACTTACCATATCCTTAGATTAAAATGGAGTTGTATGTGGATATTCGTACCATCCTGTTGAATGAGAACTTGGAGAAAATAAAAAAGCAAGATACGGCTCCCGATTAGAACAACCCATTGGTGTCACAATGGTAGCTGATTTTTAATGATATACAGCTTCAAGAACGTATGGATTTTTTGCTGTCATACAAAATGAATCGTATAATACTTTTCAAAGCGACGACAAATAGAAATTTAATTTACATAATTTCTGTTGCAATCAGGACAACAATGATAACGCACATTTAGTCATATACAAGTATGTTGTCGTGCCTATGTATGTACAATGTGGATTTTTCGTTTAATGTGCAATAGGTAAGATTTGGCTAAAATATTTTCAGAAATGCTGATAACCTTATTCAGTATAATGGGAGACAAATATATATCTGATTCACAAGTCAATGCGCCATGCCTTTTCAACGCGCAGTTTGGCTACTTTTTCTTCGTTTTCCTTCCTTTGTTTTTGTGGCTTGAACTAAAAAAACATATAACTGATCAACACATCAACATACACTCAACTTTTAATCCCAGGATATTCTTTACGTAGTATAATATAAGAAATTCTTTATGATTTTTGTACCTCAACAATATTGCCGTTTAAATGAAATATTGGAGTGGTATTAGTGATGCATTAATGCCGCTCTGAACATTCTTTATTCACAACGACGTGATTGTAACCCCCAGGTAATGAAAAGGGCCCGTCGCCTGTCATCCGTAGCTTGTATCGCTTCCTTTACATGTATTCCGTCCCAGGTAGAAGTAATCTTTTTAAGTGTAATTGCAACTTGCCGTACCAAGTTGCACTTGGGTCCCTGTGTACTTATAATTAATTTCACTAAAGCGGCCACTAAATACATATAATGAGATGCGTGTTATTCCCAAGTAACACTAATTCAAACTACGCAAACTAAATATGTACAACGTCACAGAATACCTCTGAACTTATTGCTTAAAACAAGCTTATTCAGCCACTTCTTTTAATCGGGGCCAAAGCCCAACAAATCGTATGAACTATGGAATGTTAGGAGAAATTACACTTTCGCTTATCTATGTATTTATTTAACCTAGACATATTCCACAAGCATCGCTGTAACCTATTGAAGGTCGATGACGAGATGTTTCCTGGAGTGATAGTATGTAACCCTGGTTATCATTTTCCGCAATATAGTGCTCATCTAAGAAGAAGTAATTTCTCTTTAGCTCGATCAGTTGAGCATCAGACTGTAAGCCAGAGATGCCATGTTCGAATCGGCTCATTCCCCGAACACCAACTCTGCCAACTTGAAAGGAGGGTGTTTATGAAAGGAATCCTTTGATGTTAAAGTTATAGTCTGTTTCAACTAAGAATGTCAACTTGTCCTTGTAAATAGGATACTTACATATCAATAAGGAAATAGGTAAAGTTGTTTTTCTGTTTTACATATATAAATGTAACACATTTTTGTAGTATATGAAGTATTACAAAATAGTTATTAGTTATTAGTATTTAAAATTGTTATTTATAATTTTAATGATTATCATATAAGATTATATTTAATTGATAAATAAAATTTAGTATGTCACAATGATACACTGATGTCTGTTATTAAATTGTATTTGTATTACATATATAATATTGAAACATTATCCACATTTTAGCGTTAAATAAATTATTATCTAATATAAATAGTAAACCCCTAATTGAAGCTGAATTAGCACTATGTATGACAATCTAGATATTATGTCCTTTTACAACCTGTAATAATCAAGTAATCCATAAGTCCAGAAAACACAATACACTCTATCCAAGATGCAGAAGCTCGGATGCTGAATCAGCATAGGTCATCAGTTCGATTGTCCCAGTCTGGTAACGGTCCTTCAAGGTGGCCAGGCGTCTGTCAATATTGGCGTATTTCTTCTTCCGGGGTTGAATGGTGCCTCCTGCGTCTCTCTGAATCCGGCTGATGTCGTTCATGTCCTGTATGTCCTTAAACGTCTGGATGATGGTGTAGATGTTGGGGTGGGCATGCAGTACATTTTCCTTCAGTTTCCCGTGCCAAGCTTCCAGATGGTTGGTAGTCCGGGGTCCCTCGGTTGAGAAGTGGTTCCAGGTGGTACGATCTCCCTCTATCCATTGCTCCGTGACGATATCGGTGAATGGCAACACGGGATGTGGAATGTCAGCATCATCAGCTTCTTGGAGGGTTTGGAACCAGACGTCCTCGATGCGGTCTAAGGGGATCAGTGGTAGAACAGCAGCTCGTCGTACAAGTAGCTTGACGTCGTTGTTGTCACGGTTCAGTGTCTGGAGTCCGGTAGACTGGGCCTTTCGCCAAATGCACTGGGTGAAGTGGAAAAAACATCCCTTAATGGTGATAGCGTGGAAAACATGTCGGATGGCGTTGTGTGCAGCTACCACAAAATCGACGAAGGCTGTAGTGGGTCGCAATGGAATGTCGAAGTGTGCCATGTGATTCTGGAGAAGGGTGAAGAAACGGCTGTAGATTGCCTGGCTCTTTCCGGGAAGTAATGCGTATACGACTGGTGTCATGATGCCTTCATTCCGTACATGGACGCTGTAAATTTGATGAAACATTGTCGGACAGGTGTAGAAAGTTCCGTCACAGAAGAAGGTTTTCTGAACAGTTATCAGAATCAGAACTTAATCATATAATTTACCTGTTTTCTGAACAGTTATCAGAATTTACCTGTGCAAGTTACCTGTACTACAATTCTAAAACAGCCTTTAATCCACTATCATCGCAGTTGACCTCCTATGTAAACATGTTGTCATATACAGAGTTGGTGTTCGGGGAAGACCCCTTCGAATCCTAGTAAAGGCCGGGTAGAAGTTTTTGCCGGGGGTGATATGTTGGTTTATATAAACAATCTTTTGGAAGTTGGTCGCTTGCCTGATGAGGTAATATGAACCAAAATGAGCCTATCCCACTCGATTTACTTTATTGAAACGATTTACAGAACCAGAAAACTCTACCCTACCGTTTTGGATTGTCTGTAAATAAAGCTGTCGGTATATCTCCTAATGCTATATTAACTGAGGACTTAAATGTTGACCTCTACACTGCTTTAAATAATCATAAGCTGTTTGATATCATTAACTCCCTTGTCACTAACTAATGTTATAAAAGATCCTACTCGAACTGGACATACCAGATCTATACTATTATCTAACTCTATTTCCTGTACTGACTCACCTGTAATCTATCGATAGATCAATTAGTGACCATGATGGTTGTACTGTTTCCATTAATCTTCCTTGTCTTTTTAAACCGGTCTATAAACATAAAATTTGGCAGTAGCAGACAGCTAATTTTGAAACATGCAATGAACTTATATCTAATCATAATTGGATAGACATTTTTTGTATAATTGTGATTCACTTAATTCCATCTGTGATCGTTTTACGGACATTTTTCTGTCTTTTGCTAATGAATGTACTCCAAGTAAAGAAGTAAATGTACACCCTGTATAGAAAGGAATTTTTGACGTAGCATCTAAATTGAGTTTTACCTGCCATGTCTTGTTCTGAAACTTGCAGCGCAAGTTAGCGGCTAATTATAACCAATTATAAGATTATGATATTTTCGTCTTTTTGTCAAAACTAAGTATTTGGTAACACAGAACAGTTTTAAAGTATATTTCTAAATTAAGGTCTCATTTTAAACAAATGGAAGTTTTATATAAAGTTTTTAATTTGAATGAATTTATTTACTTCATTTATCATATTAACTTTAATAAAAGGCGTGATACTACGAGGCTAGTCTTGGTATGTTATCTTGGAAACTTCAACTAATGTATAAGATGCATAGTAAATTAACCCTTGAATATCTCAATCATCTTTTGCCGCCTTTATCTAACGAAAATAGTCGTTATGAATTATGCAACAATAATCCAGAAATAATTTTATATTTTTGTTGCTTACTGGTATGTAAACTGCATTTTTTACAGATATTTTCAATGACGCGCGTTAGCGTTTGGTTTCCTCTTTGAGAATACCGCATTAAAAAATTCCTGTTTAAATTGTTTGGACATTACACGCTTAGGCGAGAATACCCGACATCTGATGGAATAGCCGAACAGCTGACTCCAATTTGGCGGGAACAATTGTCATACACAAGACGTAGGCAAATATAGTTCCACAATATAGCATCATTTATTTGAATTATTTCCTATCTAAATTTACAACCTGTTTTCCCTTTTATCATTATACTTATATTTCTGCAACATATTTAATTTAATAAAGGTGTATTAAATGTTAGAACTTTGAAGAAAAAAATCACTGCGCATTGACATTAATTGCGTAAGAGTGTTACAGTGATGCGGCTACTTTGAAGGGGAAGATCACGGTTACCAATAATGTATTCATACGCGTAAGGTTTACCGAAGTGTAAACGTCAATTTCGTTGGTAGGTCTATAAAGAGGATACACACCGGAAATGTAAATAATAACTATAGGATTCCTCCTTTCAGATTGTCTCCTACTAACTCCTCATTTCTATCTTCTACTCTTTACTGTTGGAACAACTAACAAATTCGGTTCGATTCCAACCCTTTAATTCATTCAAACCAACACTTTACTTCATTCAAATCTTGTTTAACATAAAATATTCAGTCCACCACTTTACTATAAAATGTGAAATCGCAAACTTAATATATTGCATACTGAGCTCCGATACTAGTGTAGTTCCCTCAATTATGATCCTTTTAGAATTAACATTGTGGAGAATGCATCTTGTAATTGTTGTCATCCTTGTGAGAATGTTATTTTCACTATTTTATTGAATGTCAACATTTCTCAAACGAAAAACGTATTCTAGTTCAAAATTTAAATAATTGGCACGTTGCGTCAGATACAGAAACTCTTTCGTGTGGCAGTTCTCAACTTTCTGTGGACCTTAATTCAAACAATTTTAGAGTTGTGCAAAACTATATTAAATCCAGCAAGAGATAGTTATGTCATTTAACATGTATATTGGGAGAAGGCGTTGATAAGTTGAAAAACTTGTGTCAAATTCCTTGTCTATATTTTTGGCAATAAATATGTTTAAACTTAAATTAATGATTTAAAGATAAAAGTAGGCCGTAGCATGTCAAAGAATGAGTGAAAATTATAAAGTGGTACAATGTATAGTGTTCATCAGTTTCAAAAGAATCAAGGTTTTAATACTATTATGTTCTGGATACATCGTTGGTGATGTCCACAAGAAGACGGTAGGTAGACGAGGGGACATAACTCTTACCTGCAATATACATGTTTACATTCGTCGAAAGGATTTCAATTCATGACTTTGGAAGGTAAAATCACCGTTCGTCTTCTTTGAACAGAATAAAAAACATCAGACAAATCTGAGTCAGGTTGTTTATAAGAATACTATTGTAATGTGTTACGTCTTATAAGATTAAAATTCAAGCTTTTAAATGTCAAAATTGTGCAGAAATTGGTGTTTATCGGATCTTAATTTTAATATACAGATCTCAGATAGTTGTATAAATGACCCCCAAAGAACTCATAGTATTTCACACAATATCTTGTTTCCTTACAAAGGATATCGATATAACACGCTGTCCTAAAACCTTATATCCCCTGATTTAATTTACTTTCGTTACTTGGCCTGACGTTTTGTACTTTTATAAATACTTGCAAACTAGCAAAATGTGTTCTTCTATTCATAGAAGATAGTTTTACCTCACCTGAATGTTACCTGTAGCTAGACTAAAAATAATATGTTCAACAGAATCAAGCCGGTGACTTTAATGTTCCTATGTATATTTTAATCTCTATCTTTTTCTTTAATTATGATCGATATTTAAGCATTGACGTATGGGAAGACAGTACCCTGTAATGACTCGTCAACAACAGGGGTTAGGATTTCCTATTGTTCTTTGTGGTCAAGACGTATAGTGCAATATCAATTTCATACATCTTTACATAAAAATGGATACAACATATGCATTTCAGAAATAACATTTAGTCGAATAAGACATTCTTATTACAAATTCATAAATTCAAAATTGAACGTAGAATGTTGCTATGTAGCCGATTAATCAATGTAGTTTCCAATCTAATTCAAACCCAAATATACATTACAAATATAATATTGATATGAAATGGATACTGTCAAAATGCGAGCTCGGGTTGATCAACAACATGTTTACTTTAACAGAATGACTCGTGGCTTAGCTGAAGCAGATATTTCTTCTTTTGAAACGTTTGATGTCTTACAAAATTTGAAAATATTCATTAACCATACAATATAAAGACAGGGAAAGAAAAAACAGAGAGCCGAGAGAAAGAGATATACAAGCTAAGTATGTAAAATACAGTGGACTACTCAACTGGAAGGGGATTTAGAGAAGGAACAGACATTTAAGAATAAGAGGACAGGGGAAAGTGACTGGCAGCAGTGTTAGTAGAAAAAAAAGTGGAGTAATGCACGACGACCATGTCAGAGACTGAAAACTGATGCAATGAAAATTACAACTATAATATAATATAATGATGTTGCTGTATGAATTATGTTGTTCATTACATACTGTAAATAACATATATCACTATTTATATAAATGGTATTAGTATTCTGTTATTTGTGTTAATTTTTCCAATTTCTTCATTCGTAAACAAATTGATCTGTAGTCATCTCCCTTAACTTCAGATTTTTATTTTATAATGAGCAAGGACATCAGTCGATACTCCAGGGGTTACAATCACTTTCTCATTCTGCACCGCAGGAACATGTCAGGTGGACGACACCCCGTAGACAAGACGAAAAGACTAGCTTGATCCTTTGATGTAATCAAATGAATCTCGAGTTCGCATAATGGTATATTGTAATTGTAATGGCTTTGATATTGGAAGAACGTAACAGCCTGTGATTGGCCAGTGTTTCCCCTAGAACCAATCACGTTACTTCGCTTGTCACTTCAAAAAGGTAAAAGGTACAGACTTTGAATACGATTTTTTAATTGATCTCATTTCCAAAATAAATGTGCAGTTTACCTTTCAGAGTTTCAATTAGAGGTTGCAGACATGACAATATATAAGTTTTGTTTAAAAAAAAAAAAACTAGCTAAACTATGGTGGAAGACTGTAGTTTTTAGTGATCTCTAAATGGCTGCCATCATCATTAGAATCAGATACAGTAGTAGTCCCCCAACATTTCTCTTATCCCTTAGCTATTATTTAGGGTTTTCATTTTCTTGCTCTTATACAAGTCATAAAATGCTTTTGAACCTTAACTTTTTTGTAGACATTTCATGACTATTCAGTTATATTTCGTTATTATTCTGGCGCCATATTGCATGTGCACTTTTTGTGGCGATTTGACATACAAACAATGACGACACACAAAAATAACTCCATTTCAGCCTATTGAATTTCACGTACTTATGGTAGACAGGACCATTGTCATAACTTAGATGCTATTGTGTAACCAAACAGCATCTATTTTTTATTCTTTCATATAGATTTAAGAGTAGTTTAACATGTAAATAGATGCTTGTGATAATGTTTTGTTTTTGTTTATCTTTGTATTTGTTTTTTGTTTTGTTAGTTTTATCAAATATTTGGTTGTTTTAATTATCCATGATAGCTTTAACTCTATGATTTACATGTTCTTAGTTTCATACAGTAATAACAATCAGTGTTGCTTTTAAAAGTGCTACTGTTTATGTTAATAAATTAAGATAATGCTGATGTTGTAAATGTATGTCTGTGTTTAACTTTGCATGCTTATGTCATAACTTTTGGCTTCAAACAATGCATTTCTTTTTGCGCTTGTAAGAGTGGACATTTCTACTGGTACACCGGCACCGGAGTTTACAATTGAGGGGTTTAATTTACCTCCACACCGGTCGGTTGACCTATTGACCCAACAAGATGGCGCAAGATTCTGGAAGTGGTGTTTACCTAGGATTTGACTTTAGTACACAGCAGGTAATTTATCCTTGCATAAGAGATGACAACATCACAGACACCTTCAGAAATTATTATTAATAACATAATATATTTTTGCACGTGCATGACTGTCATTAGAATGTTCTGTGCTGCATGGATCTGGTTGTGACCCACACTCTGCCACAGGCACATGTAGTGTGGTACGGGGATTGCTGATAAGAGCCAGCATTATCACAGTATTATCATATTGATTACGGGCGCTATTCACATAAGAAGGACAGACCCGTCATTTTGAAATGTATGTTAATGATGAAAGTTCTTTGTCGGTTTATCAGGATTTTTGAAAACATGGAAGAATTAAATTAGACTCCGATGAATTAAATAAATAGAGCTAGTTGATGCATGTACATTTTATGTCATCAACATATATGCATATGACTATTTCTATAACATTATAACACGTAAACGTTCTATCTTCCACTTTGAAAGACCTCACTTGTTATAAAACATTTATCTGCATTACATGTATATGGTATTTGTTGTTTAATACATTTCAGATAAAAGTAATTGCTGTGAATGATGATTCCAAAGTTTTACATGAGGCTGCTGTTAAATTTGATACAGATCTGCCAGAATTCAAGTAAGTCGATTTCTGAATTGCTTTCTTTTGGGGGGAAAATGTCGAAAAAGGACAAAAAACTGAAATGTCACAGTTATTTATTGAAAAAATATATTCTGATCTTTTTTTGAGTTAACACAGATACTGATTCAGGATTATTGTGTCAAAGCATTTACATAATGTACACTTCATGACTTTTTGATATTTACAGATAACAATAGATAGTGATAATGAAAAAATATTTAACTTGTACTCTTTGTATACTACACACTGATATACATGTACACATGTTTACAGTGTATAGATACAGGGATGTGAACATGAACTGTTATTAATTTTGTGTAGTATATGATTGAAATGTATATGTTTATATAGGACTCAAGGTGGGGCTCACATCCATGACGATAAAGCCACAGTTACTGCACCAACTCTAATGTGGGTCAAGGTTAGTGATGCAGCATTCTTTGTATGTAGGTCAAAGTTTGTGATATAGTACTTTTTCCATAACGTTTGACTCAGAAGGGAACAAAAATGAAATACAATGTATCTTTGTGACCTTAAATGAGTTTATATGTTACATGAGCCATGAAGAGTCAAAAACAAAATTTCATGACAAGATTCCATTAATCTGACGAGAAAATGCTCATCAAGAAATAAGCAGAGAAAATGCACAAAATTGAGAACAATGGGTCAATTTTCAATATTTTCTAGTTAATGTCAGAAGTATGGTGGGTCATATTATGTATACTCTTAATGAAGAACAGAAGCCTAGAGGAGTCATTTTCAATTTTGAGGGACTTAAGACCTATTGACTCCTCCAGATTATCAATGAATAAATCAGATGTTGATCCTGGAAGGAAAAAAATGTATTGTTTGACTGTTATCATAAATATTCACATGATTCACTCAATTCAATGGTCACTATTATAAACATAATATGTTTACAATTTGTATGTATACAAAGAGAAGTAGTTCTTATATGAAAGTATAATATAATTATATACATATTGTCAATTTTGAATGACTTTAAATTCTGTAGGCTCTTGATCTCCTGATGGACCAAGTGAAAGCATCAGGTTTTGATTTTTCCAAGGTTGTGGCAATATCAGGAGCAGGGCAGGTAAAATTGTTTCCATGTCTGAATGTATACACTTAAAAAGAAAAAAAATAAACAAAATGTTGACTCCCAATCCATCTCTCTAATTATCTAGTAAATGCAAGCTCTTATTATCTAAATACCTATAATAATAGCTCAATGATTAAAATTTTTTAAACATGATTTTCTCAGTATAGGTATGTTATTTTTTTTAAAAAGTTCATTGTTCTACCTTATAATGTATCTTAGAAAAAACATTTACAGATCTTTGTCTTTGACAGCAACATGGCAGTGTATACTGGAAGACAGGAGCACAAAATACGCTGCAAAAGCTGAATCCAGCAGAGACATTACATAAGCAGCTGCAGGTAACTTAATATATAGATAAGTACACATGTACTTGTTCTAGCTAATAGCTGCTTTTTTAAATAAAGATTCTCATTTGAACAGATAATGGGATGGTGTTGAGGATGTATGACTTGGTAAACACTTTAAAGATTGCAGTGATAAACAAAAAGATATATTTGTAGTAGATGTATGTGTTCTAGAGTATACTTGATGAAGAGACTGAGGTAACATAATGGTACATTGTTATCTACTGTTAAGCATACACACAGATATACACCTATAGAAACATAGATTGAGATAGTGAATGGGGAACCTGGTATATATATGCATACCCATTTTATGGGTTGTGATACAATATTACATACACATATATGTATAGATATGTATATCATGATTTCTGTATACTTTGTGTATGTGAAGACAGATTTTCTCTATTCAGATACCTATGCATAAGAATAAAAACTATTACTGAGGCAATAATTTCCTTCACTAATTTACCTTTCTATGCGACAGGATTGTGTTGAAAATGGACTTCTTTGATATCTATCATCATCCTAGAAAGTTATGCAGCTACAGATTTTAACTAGCCCTACAGATCCTATGTGGTTTTACAGAGTTACTGCCCCTTTCTTTCATTACACATAACAATGTTTAACAAAATTCCATTTTATTTACTTGAAGCCAGATTGAAACATTCACCCTCACATAATAGTTACACATGTCTAGCAAGAGTTCAATTACCTTGAGGATTGTACAAAAGGCACTTTTTCATAATTTGGAGTGAGAGAAATTAGTAGAGCCAAACAATGAATTAAACTGCATCATTAAACTGTTTTGTCCTTCTAGGACTCATCAGTATGCTAAGGGTTAAAGATGTTAAGCCTAGAAGGCCACTAAAGAAAATTCCAAGTGATTAAAAGAAAAGTCAAAATCTAGACGAGGAGGTGCAGCAGCCCCATAATTGGATACATTTTGTAATTTTCATACATTGGGGGTTAGAGTGTTAGAGAAAAGTCATCAAATCACATCTTTGTAAACTGGTTGAAGGAATGGGTTACTGCAATATACGAAAATTTCTTTAATATTCAATTTAGACATAAGCACTATGCACATGATTCATATAGGCCAAGGAAAATGTTGGGATATCTTGTTACTTACGGTTTTGTTTTTGTTTCTGTACTAAAAACAGGAAATCAAAATTTATTTTTTTGCAAATGCTTACACTGGGAAAGTTAAAAGTACTCTATATTTTACAAAAAAAGATTTAATTAAAAGGCTTGAAAGAGGGAATGTATAAAAAATCAGTAAGATAAATTTCATACAAGGGAGCTGTATGTTTTCTGTGATGTTTTGTTAGATTATCTTTTGATGTGTGATTTGAAGGATAGCTTCAGTGTGGCAGACTCTCCAATATGGATGGACTCTAGTACCACCCAACAGTGCAGACAGTTAGAGACTTCAGTTGGAGGACCGATGGTAAATCTAGTCTAAAGTTTATTTTGCTATATTTATGTTAAAAAATTGAATCTTTGTGTGAAGCTCAATAATTTCCCTCTGTCAGCTGGTCATTATAATAGAGCCAATTAGAGTGTTAATCACTTTATGGTGTTGTTCATTTTATTAAAAATGTTGAATAATACTTTAAATATTATATATGTAAAATTGTGGTGTAGTCTGAATAACTAGTTCAGAGGGAGACAACTCTTGTTCCTTACATGTATCTAAATTATTCCCAAGTTTTGGTTTATTTTAAAAATGAGAATAGGTACATGTAATAAGCTGTTAAAATGATGTGAATTACTAGCAATTATCAGGTTGTTGATTTTATTGAGGGACATGAAAAGTGAGTTTTTTATTTGCTTTATCAATACAGCGTCTTGCTGAAATCACAGGAGCAAGAGGATTTGAAAGATATACTGGAAACCAGATTATGAAGATATCACAAATGCAGGCTGTTGCATATGCTGAAACAGAGGTACATGTACTACAAAAGAATGATAAAAGAGTGATTTTGATATGACATGGTAGGGGAGATAATTTTATTTCTCATACATGTATGTTCTTTTGCACTAGCTACTTTAAAAACAATAGAGATATTTTGACTCAGTCACAACCTCGCTTTTTATTTCAGATTCTGCATAATTCATTTATTACTGGTAGTTATGTTTTGATTTTTCTTTGCAGGAAAACAATATCAAACAATAGAAATTTGAAATTTTAATAAAAGTGTTTTATCACAATGATGGAATTTCACTTTATTAATGGAAATTAGATGTTGTGTATATATGTCATTTCAGCGGATTTCTCTAGTGAGCAGTTTTGCGGCATCACTGTTTTATGGGGATTATGCTCCAATAGACTACAGTGATGGGTCTGGTATGAATCTCCTGGATATCGTCAAGAAGTCATGGTCACCAGAATGTTTGAAGGTACATGTATTTCTGCACTGGTAATAGTGTACATGTTAGGTTTGTATCGGCTATTCATTATCATTATATGGAGGAGGGGGTATACTGGAATGGGCTCGTCCGTCCATCCGTCCGTAGACGGAAGTTCGTCCAGCTATGCATTCACACAGTTTTGTTCTACGGATTTTTTTAAAGCTTTGTGGGGAATGTTCAGTACAATATGCAGATGTGTCCCCTGAAGTGATTTTTCAAAAAGTTGCCATGGTAATGGATTGGCAGCTTCCAATTGGTCAAAATTGGATGTCCGTTGACGAAAGTTTGTCTGGCTATGCATTCGCACAATTTTCAACAGATTTTTAAAAAATTTTGTGGGAACGTTTAGTACAATATGCAGATGTGCCCCCTGAAGAGATTTTTTTAAAAGTTGCCATGATAACGGATTGGCAGCTTCCGATTGGTCAAAATTTAAATATTGTTCAATTTTGCTGAAAATTAATATATAGTGGTATTTGAGTACTGTGAATTCAATGGTAGGCATTCCAAAACTATTTGTTCACATGGTTATGGATTAGCAGCTTCCAGATTAGTCAAACTTTATGTATGTCAATAAAAACTCCCTTCAACAACACATACACTTGTCACCCGCTCATTTTGCCCATAGTATGTGAAACTTGGACTCAGTTTCCTCCATTAAACTTCCATTGTTTTTAAACTCCTGGCGGTTGTGGGGGGTATCAGTCACCCATCCTGGTGACAGTTCTAGTTTGTTTTAACATATATAGGGTCTTAGATTTGTTTTAATTTCACTAAAGAGTATAGGAAACAAGTCAAAGAAATCTTTATATTTATGAGTCTTAGCGAGTGCAAATTGAAACTTTGAAATGAGTTAAATAAAATCTTATGTGAGCTGAAAACATATTTAAGATACTCGTAAACATGTTATTCAGAAAAATTGCATTTTGAGAAGTTAAGGGATGGAAGACAAAAAATGTTTGTTGATATATTTAGTTATTAGGTTGTGACCTAATTTATAATTTTCAACAGTTTGTGTTGTTTTTGATAGGCATGTGGAGAGAACTTGACTACAAAGTTAGGGGAACCTGTTTCATCCAATACCGTTGTGGTAGGTATTATGATAATGGGGTATATATTCTTAGTGTATTCCACTACTTAAAATCACTTTCTTAAGATTTGAGTTAGATGTTTTACAAGCATCAATTCCTGAAATAATATCAACACAAAAAAGTAATATCTATTTTACTGAAAAGTTATCAGTTTGTTTAAACTTTAAACTAATGTGAATGAAGTTTGGCAAGTTATGTTATTCATAGGATAAGCATGGCATGGTGATAATAGCCTAAAAGTAAATTTTGACACAAATCTGAAGATTCAATCAGATTTTAAAATACCTACTCTATGTATGTTGTATTAAAGAAAATACATCCTTACACAAATCTCTTTTAAGATTACTGTTTACAAAAAAGACATACCAATTGATAATCAAATTTCTGTAGTTGAAGTTTTAGATATTTTTACAATTTGTTTTGTTCAGTAATTTATGATTGATCAGAAAACTATTAACTAAAATAGATCAATAAAAAACGAATAAAATATGATGTAAGAAAACAAGTTTTCATTGAAATGAAGGTTATGGATTTGCTAGAAAGTAATTCAGTTATTCCAACAGTTTTGATGAACTGAAGCATCTCATTTGAGATGTTGGCCAAGTTTGCATAGTACATACATGTCAATGTTAGAAGCTTTCTATTTTCAGGGTAAAGTGTCTCAATATTTTGTGGACAGATATGGATTTTCTCCAGCTTGTCAAGTGGTGGCCTTCACAGGTGACAACCCTGGTATGTGATGTAATCACCAGCAGGTCCTACAGTGGTCTAAAGTGGGGTCACAGACATAGACTATTTATTGTAACAGTCTGTGGTTAATCTTACAGACCATAAGATAATCACGAACTGTGCTAGTTTTTTTGGCTCTGAATGTCAAAACTAACACTGTTTACTTGTTAGCTTTACTTTTTAGACAATTTTCCTGATGGAATACTTTGGTGATCATGTGATCTAGTGCAGGCATCTCAGGGGATATTACAGAACATAATCTTACAGATATATTAGCTATATACAATGAAGTTGTTGTTGGCATTCATAAAGGATTATGGTGTTGCTTTAAAGATATAACATGCATTCTGTTATTGTTCCAGTATAGTTATATGCTAAATCTTTAATTGCATTCATTTGATATCAAAACAAATTGAAAGATGTTTGAATTATTCTTGAAATTCATGTCATGCTCAGAAGTAAACTTTATTTATTAAAAAAAAAACAGTTGTGTTTTGTCAAGTGCTGTATCAATCCTTATTGGAAATACAGTCTGCTTGTTTGCCAGCAGGTGTGTTAGCTATAAAGCTTGTTTTTCAAAAATGACACCTGTGAAAAAAGATATTTAGAATTTTTAAAGTAGCAATGAGAATTAATTTCAGAGAATACAGGTATTAGAAATGTTGTATTTTTATTTTAAATTGGTAATAAAAGTGATGAGATGTGTTGTTGATTGTGTTACAGCCTCACTGGCAGGACTTGCTCCTAGGGAAGGGGATGCCATTGTAAGTGATTGGTCTATAAGGGGTAATTAATCTGTTTCTTCACTAGATGTGTCTGTCAATTGTAATAGTGAACATACATAATGCAGTGAAAACAGCTTGATATCATGGACCATTTGTTGGGGAAAATGTGATTATAAGTGGAATGTGACATTAACAGCTTATTCATTTTTTTGGATGTCTCAGCCTGGAAGTTTACTTTTACTACCACATATAAACATCTTATACGTAGCAGTCGACCAGTATTAAAGGGTAAAGGGGAGGGACACTGACTCTTGCACACCTATGATCAATTTTAAACAGAGCATAGCCAAATTGAGTATAATACATTGTTACCTTTTTATGTATTGTTTGATCTATAATATATTATTTACCATCTCGCCACATTATATTCGACCTTAGCGTACGTTGGATTATAATCAGCCAAAAATGTTGTGTGATATCTTAACATCTTGTGCACTTTGTGCATCAGTACTAGTATGTTCCACACTGATCATTTGTTTGACAAAGATTACCATGTAGTCATGGAAACATCTCACTTTAGTCTTCAACTCATTGTGTTATAAGAACTTCTATTCTATTGACATCACCAACCTGAAGACAATGTTCCAAAATATATAAACATTTGATTTTCATAACTGTTTAATTTAGTATTATTATTGTGAGGTATGCAAACTGTGTCTTGGTTCCTAAAAGACTCTAATGCCAATTATAGCCACATCTCTTTGCCAGTTTTGATTAACATTGTCACAGAAATCAATAGATCTCTCATCATACTATAAGGTTTACGTAGTGGATCTCGCATAGGACTGAATAAAACCTGTGTTTTTTACATGTGTTTTTTCCCTTTGCGTTGTGGAATAACTTTCGTCTCCACGAAGCAACATTGTTTTAGGTGTTTCTTAAATAGTTTTTTTTACTTTATTGCCTTTATAGGCCTTTGCTATCTCCTTTACATAACTTTGTCACTTGTCTCCTTAGAAAATTAAATTGCTCCTGATCTGCTTCAAATATCTTTATCTATCTCATATATAAAATATTCATTAATTAACATTAAAACATTTTCATACAGAAGTATATATAAAAATAAGGTAACCTAGACTATTGAAGGAGTTATTGTAAACTCATGTATTTAATAGATATCACTTCAACTAACACATTTTATCTATACAGGTAAGCCTTGGAACCAGTGACACAGTATTTCTTTGGCTCAAAGAACAGAAAGCAGGTCTCGAGGGTCACATATTTGTTAACCCTATTGACTCTAATGACTATATGGCTCTTGTCTGGTAAGATAAATGTTCTGAAGTTACTTAAGAAAAAACACATACAACTTTGGCCAGGAGCCACATCCACAACTTCGGCCAGGAGCTGTATCAGTTACAATAGAAGTCGCCTATAGTTACTTATAGTATGATGAAATGATGTTGTTCATCTTATATTGGTTGTAATATATATGGGTTCGAACTAATCCATATACCATGTCAAGTTTTATTTCTTTCTGCCAATGTAATCTTCATGGCGTCTTACAAAGTAGACAATTTACAAAAAGAAAGATCAAGGGTTTTTTCAAGAAATCAATGTGATGACCTCTCTCACATGAAAAATATTTATGTGTTTGCAACTATTCAAGTATATTTATATAAATGATGATAGAATAAAAAAAATGAAGCAATTTATGATTATCAATCAAGTTAAATATTTCTATTCATAGATTGTGCTCAGAGATATTTTGTTTTTTGTAGAAGTATATTTCAAAATATAGTAACATCAATAATCATTTTTTAACACTGATGCCAGCTTTTGTTATATCGTTCATTGTTCATGCATTTTTTTTTGTTTTTAATTGATAACTACATTAAATAACATATTAGATTGAATTGATACAACTTAATTTGAAGTTTAAATTGAGGTACATGTATAACATACATTGTTCTTACTAATTACAGATTTAAAATTTAATTAAAAGTCCAAACGTCCTCCTACATTTACATATGTGTGTGAATCAGCAATTATTGGTGGAATACTTTTTGTAAAATCATAAAATAATTTTGTTTCGATTTGTTCAACATTCATTTCAAATTATAGGAATTATGTTAAAGGGGAGGTAAATCTGAATTGATTTCTGTTGGTCAGTAGAACTGTTCAGCTGTGATGTTTTTTGCATATGACCAGTTTCTTTAAAAAATCAGCTGGAGAACAAGCAAGCAAGGACTTTGACTAAAAGAGATCAGTGAAGGAGACTCAATTTTATATAAACATTGTGTTGTTATTTAATTTTGTTAGTATACATTTTCTTGGGGTTATAGTTAACTTTGATCTGAATACTGAAATTGCATGGCTATCTATACTACTATCTACTAACAATACTACTTTTCATCTGTAATAGTTTCACATCAAAATGGCAATGAATAGATGTACAATGTGCAGTCTTCTTTGTTGTTGAATTGTTTTCCTCGAATATTTACCATCCAACTGTATTTTGTTGAGTGGTGGATTCACCTATAGTGCTTATATTAGAATTTCTGGCTTCTTTTGTCATTTAAAAGGAAACATTTTCATATTTTGTGTTGTGGTTATTTGTTTGAAGCTTTAAGAATGGATCATTAACAAGGGAGAGAATTCAGCAGGAGAGTGCTAGTGGCTCTTGGGATACATTCTCCAGCTACCTGACTACCACACCAATGGGTAACAACGGAAACATAGGTTAGTGTAGTCTAGCACAGCTTCAAACTTTGTGCTAAAGTTCATGCTCCTGTAACCTCAAATCAACTTTAAAAGGAATTTAAGTAAATTTTGATTTTAGCGTCAACTTCAGTTTTGTCACAGTCTATCAGCTAAAACATTTTGTAGTGACAATTAAATGACTTTAACACATTTTGTTGGGTAATTAGATGTATACTTAAAAGAATTGTAACTGTTGAGGATGATACTCAAGTTCAAGTAAATTGATAAGCAATTCACATTTCAAAGAGAGAACTTTACTACATTTTGAGAGTGCTGGCTCTCTCATTAAACCCAGGTAAAAAGTTGTAATACATTTATAATCAGCAAATATTTGGAATTTTCATTATATTTTTTACAAAAAGAAACTTAAGATTTTTTATCATTGTTTCTGTACAGGTATATATTTTGATGCAACAGAAATCCAGCCATTGGCAATGGGTACATCAAGGTTCAACAAGGATGGGGAGAAGGTAACACATTTGATGTAAAATCAAGTCTATTGTATAAGTTGGGATGGATATGTAGTAATTATAATCTGGAACTGCTAAGGCGGAATGGGGGAGCTGTGATGCACTTGTTGATAATGGTCATATCAGGTAATATATAAAGTCATGTTAGCATGGCTTCAAAATACTATAGATATATCTTGGGTAGAATTTTTGTCCTATTCAATTAGTATTTTAAATGAATATGTTTGTAAAAAGAAAAGCTAACCGATTGGGAAATAATATGAGGAATTGGAAATTGGAAGGAGATGATTTAAATGAGTCAATTAATGTCTATTTCTTCAGGCTATTGGCAGAATTGATACAGGTTATTGAAGTCATTACTCTAAAAACATTTCTACATCAATGGGCAGGTTATCCTTCAAATGATTAACAGACTCTTCTACTTCAGCTGCATATCTCAATCTTTTTCTACAACGAAACCAACATGGACAGATTTTCACCAACCTGTATAAAAAACATAATTATTTCAATTTCCTTATTGTGAACTTTTCATTTCTGGATAGCAATATCCGTGCATCCCAAATCTATGATGTTTACCTGGTGCAGTTGGTTCAATATTCAGGGGCTTGTTTCCATTATCATATGCAAGTAGTTGTCAACTGACTGACAAACTTGTATGAAAGTTATGGGGAAGTTATGTTGTTGCTATAGTGATCACATTATTTCTTTGTGCAATATAATGCTTAATGTGTTTAATGCCTATTAGTTTGCCTGTTGGTTCCGTTTGAGAATGTTACATTACTTACTAGGATTGACCAAGATTTACACAGTGGTGTTGTCGTTGAAGCAGAAGACACTTACTCTTCCAGAACACCTGGTCTTATTCTCCATATACTTTTTCAGGAGTCTGAATGTTAATCTATTGTTCATATTTTGCTTTAGTTTCACGGAATTCTTGTTTGTAGTATACTTCTGTAGACAAGTTGTTCTTTTTAAATACTTTTTGAAATATGAATATAGGCATATTTCCAAGAGTAAAAAAAAGAAGAGTCTAATAGTGTCTGTGCCACTCTCCTGGTTTTTGTTGCTTAAATTGCTTCGCATAAATGAGATGAAAGGTATTTTATAAATTTTCACTTTTAGGCCCCACCCCTTTGCCCAAAAGTTGACTGATGCATTGTCTATGCAGAACTTAGTGACCTTCCAAAGATACTCTCTAGACGTAAATTCGACAAAAATCGTTTCCATGGAAGAAAACGAAAATTTGTGCCCTGCCTTTCAAACGTGTAGGGGCCGAGACCCAACATTGATACAAAATAAATTGGTTTTCCTTTTCCCTTGGATGCTTGTGATAAGATTTTGTAAATAATCTTCAGAAGTTTTTTAAACCAATTTCTCTATTTCTCCGAATGGGCCCCGCCCCTCTGACTCTAGGGTGGAGAGTCGGTAAGATCTACCATTCATACTAAATTACCCTTCACCCAAGAATACTTCAGCCTAAATTTTGACCAAAAAAATCATATCCACAGAAGGATTTTAAAAAATGCAAGATTTCACCTTTTTGGCCCACTCACACAATCTACTAAATCCAATCAAACTCCATTTAGTTGTTTATGACTAGTAGTGATGTGTAAAGACAAATTAACTGACTGAAGCCAGACGAAAAACGACACTTCGTGACATACAAAAAAAAATGTGAGCTGACTGGTCCTTCAAACGTGGGAAGCTAACGGTCATAGGATTGCCTTAAAGCAGAAAATTAAACAGAGTTAGCCATGACATGTCAAACTGATCAAGAACGTAGATCAAGGACGAGAATCCTAGTAGGTAAATTTGAAGTGAAATTTAGCAACTTAAAGATGGTTGTCATTATCTAGGCAGATGTTGCATTGCCGTATTCTTTAAATGATGATTGATGTCAACTCATATGCAATGTCCATGACTATTTATCTGATGCTTGGATATAAAAAAAGTGATAATTGTAGAGAAATATGCTACCATATCGGGAGTGCATGGGTATGCTATCAGAACTTACGTGTTTGTGTTTGAAAAAATCTAACATCTTCCATACATCAAATGGGGTGGTGCTGTATGTGAAACGAAACCTAGTGATATATAGGGTCATGTAGTTGAGTAACTAGATGAAGAACAGTTCCCCGCTACACAGACCTGTCTCTAGAGTCGTGAGTATAGTTATGTCAACAGACGTTCCAGTAGCCACATATAGTGAAGGTCTGCCATAATTATATGTCACAAATGATTCCAAACCGCAGACTTGTTCCCATAAGGAATTGATCGCTCCATGATATCAAATTTCAAGAACAAGTCGCGATCGGGAGTGGAGCCTACGACAAAGGTAGATTTATCGACATCGCTTCTTTGACGTTGGTGTCACAAAAGGAGCGGAAACATGTGCCAATGTGTTTGCTGGATGCCCTGGTTAATTAAAAACACGGAATGGTGTGTATAGTCATTGGAACATTTAGAGGATCCAACATTGATGATTCCACTTATAGCTTTAAGGATGAACAAAAGAAACACAAGTGAATAGCACGTTCGAGTAAAGCCGATAATGAAATTAAACTACTTCATGTAGTACAGTTGCTTCGTCCTTCTAGGACTTTTCAGTGAAATATTCAATACTGGATGAATTCAAAAGAGCGTCAAGAACATGTAAACTTTCTAAACCGTGTCAAAGTTTGAATGAATTAAAACATGTCATACATGGTACTGCAAACCCTGAGGACTCAAGTCAATGCAATTGCTACTATATGCAATAAGATTTATCGTACTGAAGATATTCAAGTGAATACCTCCTTTCAGAAATAGGTGACCGCACTATTTTGTTAAATTAATTTTCAAATAATGAATACACATGCATCATACACGTATTGTACAGCTGTTTCGTTCTTTTAAGACTTGAAAGGGAAATAGCAAGCCCATATTGCATATTCAGAATAGTGTCAGTATTTCTATAGATTTAAAAAAGACACATTGTTGAACACGCACTTAGAATGTGATACTTCATTTCTTAATAAGGAAACAAATTGTTACAACCGCTTAGAAAATTTTGAAATATAGATGAGAAGTTTCACTAATTCTGATTTTGAAATTTTCGATATTTTGATTTCAAAACAACATCTATGCACATGTACACGGATGTTCTAAACCTTGTAGGACTCGTCAGTGTTGCTAAGGAACCGCAATTTAAAATTTACGATGCGGTATAGAAATATCACAGTTTATCATAGGAAATGTTAGACTCTCGAATGGGAAGTACGCTAGCCTCGTTTTTCAATAAGTTTTCATATATCTGATAATTCAAAATAGCGTCAAAACCATGTGCATATCTTTACCAGTGCCACTATTCTAACGAATAAAGACGCAGGAGGCGACAACAAACCTATTGGACATAATGTACACCGGCAGTGCCTACCAGCATTATTCCTTATACAGCCAAATGATTAAAACTGCATCATGAAGGTGTTCGGTCCTTCATGGTCATTGATGCAAAGAACATAAAGTGTTGAAATCTATGTAGTGAATACGGAACATAAACGTTCATATATAGAACGGAAGGTCTGTGAATGTTCAATATTACATGTGTACGTTTTGAATCGTGCCCCCATTCATGGGAATGAAGATGTTTTGAAGCGAATATGGCAAACCTTTGGATAAGTGACTACCAACAGTGTTTACCACCTACCAATTTGAAACAGTTCTACAACGATTGTGCGAACGACACACATTTGGAATAAGATAAAATGGAACCAAACAATGAAGTATATCTCCTTCATACAGTCTTTTCGTCCCTCCGTGACTCGTCCGAACTCTGTTGTGAAATCGAAGATACGAGAGAGAAAATCAAAATTGATTGAAAAATAAATCAATATCACTATGCCCATAAAACACACATGTCAAATAGCTTTACAGAATACAAGTTAATGGATAGATACAGTATGCAATGTAGCTAAAGGATTCATCTAACTGCAATACATATTTCTAATATGTATTAACTAGTTACATGACATAACTTGTATTGATTGACAAAGATTTACATGACGAGTCGTCGATGAAACTGAGGGAACAAAGCCTGGTGATAACGATCTTTTTACATTATTCATGAGCCCGTTATATCAAACCGTTCTTCATATTTTATACCTGTTAATTACAAATATTAGTCTGAATTAAAACTCTGTTGACACTAAGGTAATGTCTTGTCATATACTTTTGTCTTTTATATCTCTCAGTAGTTGTTACACTAACTTCACATTTCCCTTGTTGTCTTAAGGTTGAAAGTTTCCCACCTGAGATAGAAGTACGAGCTGTATTAGAGAGTCAGTTTTTAGCCAGAAGAATGTACGCAGAGCTCCGAGGAATGCGTGTCGGTGTGTAATTTTGTATCTTATATGCTAGACATTCTTATATAAAACCCAATGCTGTATTTCAGCAACATGTACATGTGTTGCTCGGACTCGAATAATTGCTGTTGCTATCTCATTTTCATGACAACCTATACATTCTGAATTCTGTTGAGTGAAAATTCTAAGCAAGATATGGTGTATTTTATCTTAAACGCATTAAATAGAACACCGTTGGGATCTCGGCCCATCTTCTCGCAGTAATTAAGATTTAGGACGCATGGTATTTAAAGTGCTTTTGTGGTTTGTAGGTCCTCAGACACGAGTAATAGCTACTGGTGGGGCATCTTCCAATATGGCAATTTTACAGGTAAGACTTCTATTACATTTTACCTATAATGGATATATTCCAAAAATATACTTATTATGCAGTCCCAAAGACACATACTAGTTTAACTGAGCAATGGATTGAGATCAAAATATAAATTCACAAAAGTGAAACAAATTACTTTATTTCTTTGTAACAAAATGACCGTCTGTGAAATTCTGCATTCATCCAGGTTTTGTCAGATGTCTTCAATGCACCTGTCTACGTAACTGATGTTCCGAACTCGGCAGCGCTAGGTGGTTGTTATAGAGCCAAGCATGGTAAATTGTTACATTAAATTTCTTTGGTATTTTCAAAAAATATTTCAAAACATCCTAACACCAAAAGAATATTTATTTGTGCGTTTTTCTTGTTTGTGTAAGTTCTATGTTTATCTGAGTGCCAAAAGTAGCTAGTTAGAATCGAAATGAATAGAAAGAAATATGACAAGAAATAAGTTATACATAAGTACACTTGAGGAAGTACTAGGAAATGGAGACGAGAATATTCTTATATGGCCCATTGTATGAAGTATAGAAATATAAATTAAAGATAGACTTGGAAAACACGATGGCACGAATGTTAGCAAATGAAATATATTAAGATGTGATCATATTGAAGAGTAAACTGATACCATGTGAAACGCATAACACACTCATTACATTTTGATACACAATTCAAAATTACATCCGCATGTATAGTACGTATAATTTTTTCTGTCATAACATGGCTTGTACTTATTTCAAAGGTGTGACAGGAATAAAGTTTTCTGATGTTGTCAAGGGGCACCCTGAACCTGTGTGTGTGGCCACGCCTACTGAAGGTGCATCAGAGGTGAGTAAGACATCGAAGGTCTTTATCTAACCTAACAGGATTAATTTGTTCTTACGAAACTCTGGTAATAACAATAAACCGGAGATGTATAATCAGAAAACATGACACAGAAATGACATAAAACTTGTTATGTAAAGTATTCAGTAGGTGATAAATGACATCTGAAATAATAGAAAAAACATACCTGTTTTTAACGATGAATTCTGGATAAAGAATTTACATGCATACATTGAGCAAACTGGTATCAATTGGCGAATAACTGGTTTATTTCGTCACGTGCACATTTCGCCATTTTGTAGTAGAAACTAGAATATCTAATTTGGCATGGTGATATCTTTTGGATGTTATTAATCAACTGATAATTTCATAAGCAATTAAATTTCGCTGTTGTAATATTCGCCATATAATCATTTTGCGAAAATACCGAAAATAATACACGTACAGTTTGGTTTCCTGGGTGATTTCAACTTGTTTATACATTGTTTATGAAGAGATCAGTTTCTCTCCATCATTGCACCTGTGTCATTTTGTTTCTTAACGATAGCGCTGGTAATAAAACAGCTTAGATATCGGTATGATTCCTCCTATTGCTGTCACAGTGTGACGTTGATTTGTTGGCTGATATTTATGACGTAATTAACAACACTCTGTCATTATGCTCCAGTGTCTTAAATAGGAAAATCCTTATTTTAGCAATAACTAGCGTGGCACTTCATACAGTTATATGGAGAGTGCGTGTTTCATGATATGCACTTGGGAATACATCGGCAGATGAATATCTTCCAAGGAAATGTTTTATGGACTTCCTCTCCACAAATGACTGCTTTTGATGTGGTTTTGAATTTGTAAATTTTGACAGCATCATTCTTTGACGATATTAAGGCAACCGCATAATCCCAAATATAAATGGGTTTTCAGACGAATTAGGATCATGCGATCAAGTATATAAATTTGTATTTAAATACTTTGTCAATTTTTAAGCCTTGCACAAAGTAACTAAACAAGTTATTTTTTTTTGCAAAAGATAAATATGGATGAATTGAGGAGAAGGAAGACTATGGTGTAAATATCCACTGTTAACAGAACCGCGTTTGTCTCATAATTAAGGGATGGATATAATTATCAGGTGACCTCCATTAAAACAAGTAAATATCAGTTAACACACGCAGCTGTCTGATTAGATTTAGAACCTTGACGTCAGATTTTAAAGACCTGTTTCCATGATCTCTCTCGGGTTAAAAGATAGTTTGGTTATTTGTTAATCGGCGGCATTCTTAAAGTTACAGCATTATAATCATCTTTAAAAAGACAAAGCATGTTAATGATGAGAACTACCTCAAGAAAGACTTTAAGACCCAAAAAGACACAAAAAAGGCCAATTGATCTGAAGCAACAAACTGAGCCTCGTCGAAATATTATTTAAACTATTACAAATACCAAGGTATCAAGGTCCACCTGTCAGCTATACACTTTAACAATAGGTCCTTGTCACATACATGGAAATCCACAGACACACACACACACACACACACACACACACACACACACACACACACACACACACACACACACACACACACACACACACACACACACACACACACACAAATATATATAAACTCGAGTTTTTATAATTGAAAGCTATTAATACGGATTTTGTTTTTATTTCAGATATACCAGAGTATGAGTGAAAGGTACAAAAACCTAGAACAGCTGATGTAGATAATTGTTTTACTAGAGTAGTACCTGGTATGTTAGAATCATTGTGTTGATTGTTGTCACGGCACGTGCTTGTATGAATGATTCATTATCGAATATTTGTTAATAATTGTATTTGATTGAATTGTATTAAGTACTGTATAATGATTTTCTTCTATCGTGCCAAATTGAAATTGTTATGATGCCAAAAATTATCAACCGAAATGTATTTGATTTATACTTTTATGTAATCAAATTGTTGTATGTTAGTGCCTTGTCCGAAGCCGTTATGTTTTGCTTTAATCGTGAAAAATGTGCGATCCTTGCCATAGTAACTTATATGATGACAGGGTTTCTTAATATTTGTAATCATAAAAGATTTTCATTGCATTTTTCATAACCTTTCATATCATCAAAACATGTTCTGGTCAACATGGTTTCTTCAGTCTAGAACTATATTCAAATTGACGGGGTCACAGTTTTACCTTGTGGAGACTTATTTAAGTTTTTCCTTTTATCTATGAGCCGCACAATTCCATATATTCTATGTTGTACTAAAATGAATTAAGATATCGTGGGCAAAACAATGTCTGAAACAGTTTTTACTCTTTTGCTGACATTTTCTGGTGACAAATTCTTTTGATAACTGTTACAGGTATAGAAATAACACTGAAAATATTTCTAGATTTTATGGGATTAGTCATGGAAAATATCAATTTGATTTAGTGTTTTCGTTATTCATGTTGGCGACCATAAGAGTTTATAATAAATCGCTTTTGCTTATCACTTATTTTTGAACTGTGGTTTTAGATGTTCAGTAGGGCATTTACATGGTACAAGTATAGTGTTGTCAATACGTCCCTTCAGCTTGTCTTAACAATTAATCATTGTAACACATTTCTATGATGTAAAATTACATGTAGATTTACTATATACAACTGACGATGAATATGGTTTGTGAAATGGTTCAGGTATGTATTTTTATACCAAAAAATCAATGTGTGTTGTATTTCATGACGTACACTTTTGAAAGCGTCATTCATATTCTATTTTATACATATATAAATGTTGTCACTTATACATTACTCCGTGTAAACGGACATATAATAAAACAAGAGCAAATTTATGTATTTCACTTTTGTTTATTCTGAAAAAATAAATGTAAAATCAACAGGGAAATCGTGTATCAGGCCAGTGTTGTAGTCGAATGTTCCCATACGTCATTATTGTCTGTAGTCGAATGTTCCCATACGTCATTATTGTCCATACGTCATTATTTACCCCTACGTTATTGACTCTGTGGACTTACTATACACATATATAACTGAAAACATCATTTATTTTACAACAATTGAGAAAATATAGTGTATGGGTTTACACTAATTAAACTTGCCAGAATTGATAAAAATGTGCGACAATGAGAGATTGTAATTTGTGAGGAAACTGGGGCGCGGTGTACCCAAGACAAACTGACGTCGTACATTGGTTCAATCTGTTTCACGTTCAAGCAAGGAATCGAACTACAGTCACCTTGATGAATGGCACATGCTTTAACAATGTACCACTGAACCTTAACGGTGTTCATTATAACGTTCAAAAAACTATTAATTACTCTGGTGGACGACTTCACAATTTCGTGACGTCATTCGTTGTGTTGCCTATGTTTAACACTTTTAATTAAGATGTTATATTGTGAAGCTTGTATTCGAGGTTTCGACATAATCAATATTAGAAGTATTTTATGTAAAAGCGTATATAGTGTAGACTAAACGAAATACAATACGACGTGTGGAATTCGGCTTACAATAGCTGGTGTTGTATGATAAGGTGATCACTTTTATTATATTCACACAGTAGTAGGTAGTGTGATTAAATACAAAGTTACAATACATCATTACGCTAACCCAGTAAGCACTAAACAAAATATGACAATATTCTTACAGTTTCAGTTCTAATTGTTATATATGACGCATGAATCATTTTAGAACCAACCGTCTTGGAAGTATTGGCATTCAAAAATGTATATGGCTGTGTAAAATGGACGCGTTAAACGTGAAACGTGCTTTATTTCTGTTTACAGGTTCGACGTTCGTTAAATGTCTGTCTATCCTGCTATTGTACAAGGGTGATGGGAAATTGGAGAATCCTTGGAGAGATGATATTTTTTAGTTAAATTATACCCTATCCTTACACCATTCATCGACTATGGCGTCTGTATGCTGATTAAGTTGGCTGATTGATTGAGAATCGTTTGTATGATAATAACGTTTTACGATATATTAGAAATGCATTGTAATATCAGATTCCTTGTGACAATTATGTATGAGGCTATCACTACAAACTATATTAGTGAATTACTCTCTATCAAATTTCAAACTCCCCCGAACATTGTTGGTTTGATTTCAATCACTCGATGACACGGTTCACGTTCCTAGACAGCTACTGTCTGGTTTGGTGTAATGTATGATACCATTTCCTTCATGTATCAGTATTACTTGCATATAGACAGTAGAATAATTCGATAAAACGATTTTTCTTATTCGTTTAATTTCCTATTTTCGTGATTTAGAATAAGAATTGTTTGCCTTGAGGAGATTTCGAGAATTGCGCGTTAACATTTGGCTGCGTCGAGTGTATCAACTGTCAATATTGAAAACACTGAAAAAAAAATAAAGCGAAAATGCGTCATAGCATACGGCAAAACAGCTCCAGCGCTGAAGGACAAAACATAAGACGACCATCAAAAAGTCAACAGAACACGAATTGAACCTATCATCAGAACTGAACACAGCGATACATATGTGTACAGCACAACTATATGATTGCGTGGCGCCGTTTTAGCAAATGTATTTTCTTCAAATTGTGATGTCACTGATTCGATTAAGTGATATGATGTAATTATTTCCATCATTTTGAATTCTTGATATCATTCAATATTCATTCATATCACTAAGTGATCTCATTAATTAAAATTATTAATAGTATTAAATGCTCCTTTTAATTGATATCAATAATTCGGTTTACAGATATCATAAATGCTAACTTTTTTTTTTATCTCGGTAATTCTGGACATTTTGAGATATCTGTAATTCATTCGAAGATATCAATTATTTGAATCGATATTAAATGTTCGTTATTGATATCAATAATTACTGATGTCAATTATCCCGGATATTTAGTGAAATCAGTTTTTCATTCAAAGATATTATCAATTCGAATTAAAGTTTTCAATGCAAGAATAAGTGATATCAGTAATTGGAATATTATATTTTGAAGATAGATACCGAAACAGTGCCAATTAACTGGGGTCGTTTTAATTTTTAAACACGATAATATTAATCAATTTAATGATAACAATAATTTGAACAAGTACTATTAAATATTTATTGATATCTCACTTAAGTAAATTAAAATAGTGTTATCATATTTAGAATAGATAACCCCCCTGCCCTTTATATATAATCTTACAATGTATATTGATTATGTATGCAAGAATATTTGCGTTTTTTAATCAGAATTACATGAATATGTTCACCTCAGCATTTGTATTGAACTGAACCATTTATATCACGAGAAACACATTTTCTCCTTAAAACTAGCTCGTCTATTCCACAAAAAAGGATGTAAATGCCATACCATCAATATCATCGCGTACTGTGCTGATTTCTGCACCTACTGCAATGAATGAAACCGTAAGTTAATACTGTTTCCCGATAATCTTGTTTTGGATGTTTTTAATTAAAACACTGTTCTCTAACAATGCATTCAGTGTACATGTACTGATCGCTCAACAGATCGAAATCACATGGGACCGAATGGCTAGGATTACATTGCTTAACACAAGAGCTTTAAGACTGAACTATTGGTTAGTCTTCATTCGTTTAAAAGGTGTATGTTTTCCATGCTTCTTACTTTTTCCACCACGTCCTTGGTCTTAATTTGAAATGTGAAAATTCCTCTAAAAATAGTGATAATGATCTTTAATTATAACGTGATCGCCAGGGGCATTTTGGCCATCCAGTACTGCTCAAGAAATAGCGATAAACAAATTTCATTGTCAAAATCCAAGATGATCGACACTCGGCTTTCTTTTATTTATTTATTTTTTGTCAGTCCTAGAAGCAAAAGGGTTTAACTAGGGACCAATGGGAAGCTTTATATGAAAATTGAGAAATAATTTGCACGTATATGTTGGGAAAGATCTACACGGTACTTCTAGAAATATTGATAACAAATAGTGTTTTTCCAATCATTCTCAAAATGGATTGTGCGACAAACGGGGAGCATAAAGAATCTTCAAATACATATAAAATTTCGAGAGAGAACATATATTGTTGCCAGCTAGTTATGAACATATCGTTAGAATTGAGATATAGTCCATATTAGTCTCTTCAATGTCCCAAACACACATATGGCAAATGTAAAACTCAAACTCACAGAACCCAAGGTAGTCTGTCACTAAAACAAAGAAAATACCGATATGTCAACAAAACATTTATTCAAACTAATATGGAGACTGTACACAAAATAAGACCTGATGTTCTGAAAGAGTATGAGTCTTCTGCTTCACCTTGATCAACCCAGGTAGGTAATGTCGCGTTCCAAAATGAGAACAAGGTCCACGTCCCACTTCATATCGCAAAAGAACAATACATTTCCCAATGATATCATTATGACGGCCGAAAAACGTCCCTACAGTTTTCAGCGAGCTGCATCTCCAAGGTTAGAATGTGTGGTCTATGTTGATGTTAGTATGGGATGATAGACGGAAGTGAACGAACTGCGAAGCAGTCTATGTACCTTTTTGCACGAGGTTAACTTTCTTTCATCAGCCCACGCTGACGTAGCCTTAAATTGATGTCATATTTATTTGACCAATCACGACCATTTTTTGATATTGTAGTAACGTGCTTGACACCAAATCAGGTAAACGTCTCAGTGCTAAACGTAAGCTATGAGAAAGCTATTTAGTAGGATAATTATAAACGTGATGAAGCTTCCTGGAATGTCGGTTTTCTTATAGGTCATGTCTTATAAACTGACTGCATTATATTGGTATTTTCCATTGCCAGAAGGGCAGCTGTTTGGCGTGTTAACACGTGTACAGTAGACATACATGTATACCAATTTCAACAAAATCACGTGACCCAATTAACCCTTGGGAAATGAAGTGTTCGCAGTTTAATCGTTTCAATGTGGCGGAGCAAAGTAAAAATGTAAAAGTTTCCGACATCTTGCAGAAAGCCGTGATATTGAGACCATGCCCCTTAATATCGAATAAATTTGAGTCTTTGTTAATATAAGTGGACATACAGAGAACCCAGTTGGTTTAAGGAAGTATTGTAATAGCAAGACGTAATGGAAAGTGGTTTACTCAAGACTAGTATAGCGGGATAGTCAGACATCAATGAACGGAAAATACCATGGACAGAAAATGCAAGTGAGGATATTGGATAGGATATTTTGATATTGGCTTTGCGGTTAGGTACAAAGCTGGTAGTACCACCACTACAACACTTATAAATATATGGACTATTGTGATACAGACGTCAATGAAAAGCGTCTGTTTATGTCTACACGGCACTACTACAGTAATCGTCCTTACAGAAAAAGTTGGAGCTCTGCCGAGTGATAGGGTGTCCGCAAAAAAAGATCTGTCTAAGTTGGAACTCTGACGAGTGATAGGGCGTCCACCTAACGAGAGAAAGGTCTACGTTGGAGCCCTGCCAACTGAAAGAGCGTCAGCCTAAAGAGAGATCAGACTAAGTTGGAGCCCTGACGAGTGATAGGGCGTCTACCTAGCGTGAGAAATAGAGCGTCCGCCTAAAGAGAAATCAGTCGAAGTTGTAGCCCTGCCGAGTAATAGGGCGTACCCTAAACGAGAGATCTGTTTAAGTTGGAGCCCTCCCAAGTGATAGGGCCTCCACCTAAAGAGAGATATGTCTAAGTTGGAGCCCTCTCAAGTGATAAGGCCTCCACCTCAAGAGAGACCTGTTTAAGTTGGAGCCCTGCCGAGGGATAGGGCGTCCACCTAAGGAGAGATAGGTCTAAGTTGGAGTCCTCCTGAGTAATAGGACATCCGCCTAGTGAGAGATAGGTCTACGTTGGAGG